CTTTAGTAAACTTGTTTGTAATACTTTACCTTTAATTTAAATTGATTGAATATATTATGTTGATCTGAAATATTTCCATTCAAAACTTGTTATTTTCTTCAACATTAATGTTATGATTCAATTAATGCTATTGAAAATGCAATGTTATAATTTTTCAAAAATATATATTTTCGGAGAATTTAGATCAAGGAATGTCTACAAGTAAAACATCATGATTAGAAAAATATTTTTTCTTATCATGATCCTTCTTATTTAAAAATTGAAAACAACACGTTTAATAACTTCATGCGTCCGAAGCGATGATGTCTATGACCAGAAATTTCAAAGCATATAAGCAAGCACAGTAGTATGGACACTCATGATGTCGAAATCCTGATGTCCCTGTCACATTGTCACGAATCAGTTTATGGGAATTTACGATCTTGCAATTTTGAATATTACGAAATACTGTCATATAGAACTTTAGAACTAAAACATTCCGATTAAGATGATAAGTAATACAGATATATTTCACATTCACATAATAACACTCTCTACAATGAAATAACACAACGTTAGCTCTTATAGAGAACAACTGTTACGGGATGACATCTGACCATATATAAACCGGCCTATTTGTTTGAAAATGTTCATAAGTTTGGAAGGAGCTGTTCATGGTTTTCGACTCTAACATTGGTCAACGTACTTCTTGTCAAGATATTTGATTTTGTATACATCTATTTAAAAGTATTAAAATGTGAGCTGTCAGATCTTTTTACAGTAGTTCACATGTTTTAGATTTTGTTCTTTGATTTCATTCAAAACTAACAAAATAAAGAATAAGTAAAACTATAGAAATATCTTTATTTTTTTCTGCAGGTCACCTGTTCCAAGGGATGAAGTTAATTTTAAAGAACCATATTCAGAATTTTGCCCGATACATCTTATTATGATGGATGAATATCTAATGGAAAAATAATAATTTCTATAACTGAATACATCAGATGTTTGAATTAAATGGAACAGACATTCTCACAGGATGTCATCTGGGAATATTTAGTGTTCTAGCTACAAAGTTTGAACAGGACGCAGCGCCCGCCCTTTTTTATTGACGCCCATGCCTTTTTCTGCCGTTTCTCGGGCGCCCTGCCGTTTTTATCGCGAAATTTGCTTTTTCTCGGATGAGTTTTTTCGAAATTTTCGTCGCCATTTTTCTCCCTTGTTGACAATGCGTAACGCGCCACCTATAACTAATTAGCATAAAAAGTGTTTACCTTGACTATCGATCGATTTCGTGATTAGAATTAAACTTAACTAAGGCCAGATAAATTTTAGATCATTATTTTCACAATGCCGACTCGAGATAGACGCCTGAAAGATGAAACTAAAAAGAATGCTAGCCAAAATAAAGCTTTGACATCGTTCTTTACTATCTAAGTGGAAATTATTTTTAGAAAAAAAAGTTTATCCTTTTGAAATCTTTTACGTCGCTTAACTAAACTCCACCAAATTAAAAAAATGAAAGATATTTACGTTTTTTTGTAGAATAGAACTACTTCAGGCGCATGTCTCATCAGTTAAAAGAAAATTACCGGAAACTAGCCAAACTGAAACAAAATCTCCGCGTAAAAGGCACAATAGTGGCCATCGTTTAGGCTTTGATAGGTGTTGGCAAATCGGCAGAAACTAGTTACAATGTGTTGATGATACCATGCAATGTTCACTTTGTGCAGAATTTAAAAAGAAAACTACTTGGGGACACTTCAGCTGAACTCAGATCAATCTAGAATTGCATAACTGTGCTTATGAATGAAACACTAGGATTGACTGATGTCTATCTAAAAATTTTGAAACTTGTGAGTGTGGCAGCAGTTTTGCCACTGAGCAAAGCTGAGGCTGAGAGAGTGTTTTCTGAAGTAAAGCTGATCAAATGTGATCATAGAAATAGGCTCAAGCAATCAACACTTGAGAACTTGCTATATATCAAAATTAACTGTCATAATGACATGTTGTGTTCAATTTTAGACAATGTTGTAACAAAGTTTTTTTTTAAGTTAAACAGAAGATTGTGCCAAAAGTATTGACTTTTATTACTCCATTTTAACTGAAACTTGATTTTACCATAGTGTCTGAGTTATATAGAGTACTTTGTTTGTAATGTTATGTACATATGTATTTTATGACATATGCTAATAAATTATGAGGCTCAAATAATTGCCCTTTTTTCAATGACATTTACGCGTAAAATTGTCATTTTTCTGACTAGCACCCTGCCCTTTTCAAATCCTGGCTAGAACACTGATCTATATATAAATAAATAGATAATGTGTAATATGATATCTGCCACAGGTTTTTATGCCATCTCACAACGTAAAGCAATTGACACCCTGACCACTTTTCATTTTCATCAGATATAATATTATTGTTATATAATATACTATTACATACATAAATATTAATATATTTAAGAAAAACAATTTAAAAGATCGATTACATGACTTCGCTAGGAATAATTCAACAAAAATTAGATAGTGCCAATTTCTATTGAATTTGTTTCACTCTAACGCCGTATTAAAAAGACTTTTTTATTGAATAAACTGAATGTGAATTTTTTGCCTTTGTAATACTGGTTATTTCAAGCATTACTGTCAAGTTTTGTCATAATCAGTTCAATAGTTTGAGAAAAATCTAGTATAATGTAAGACGACATCTACTGCGATTTGCGCAAAATTTCGAAATCAAGCTGCATCATGATAGAATTTAGTGTGGACCAATAAATGATGAAATATTTATCTCATCTGCATACAAACAGTTGAATATGATACAAAAGATGACTCTAGGATGATAAATTCCACTAATGGACCTCTGTCTTTATTATAAGGTCCCTTTTGGTCCATTTATACCTCTCATTTCTTCAAAATTTCAATTTTTTAGGCCAATAAATAAAAATTTTGGGGTAACTTTCACTCATTTATGAAAGAAATGTGATAATAAATGAGTAATTGAAGTATTTAAGCTGAATGAACTATCCATATAAAAGTTTACTGACTCAATGGAGGTTTCAATAAGTCTTTACGTAAAACTTAAATGTACGCCGCGTTCCAGAGAGGGACATAAAAAGCTTCCCTTTTAGTGAATAATTTGTTGTTACACCTTCAAAAATAATTTCATTTACTGAAAACTATATATTTATTAAAGTATTACTTAGGAGAAATTTTTCTATGATAGCAAAATATAAGAACTAAGGAGAAAAAGTCAGAAAAAGCTCCCCAAAACACTGAGTATGGGTTGTTCTGTCTACTAATATTCATGGTAAAGTCCTATTTCAAGGCATGTTTTTCATAAGATGTGTTTTCGAGACTCAATCCACTCAGAATATTTCATTTTTGTAATATTTCACTTAAATAGCATGAAATTTTAACAAATGAGAGTACAAACAAGGTCAAAGGTGCATGTGCAGCTTCCCATAATAGGTGTAATATCACCATTGATTTTCCCCTATTAGTCTTTGTTAAATTTGCACTTTTCAAAAAATTGTGCAGAATTTATCTTTGTTTCAAATAAAGAAATACTTGACATGAGTAAAGTTTTGTCTTGTCCAGTACTATAGACAAAATTTCACAAACTAATTCATTGCATATAAGAAAATAACCATCACTTGAAGTTAACCAATCGAATTTTCACCCCTTTTTTCCTGTGTATAAGCTTTAGTAACCATGTAACCTCAAGTTTCCAAAATATTCTATAGAAACACCAAATAAAAAAATAATGGTGCTTTGAAACACCCAAGACATATGTTTATGACTCAGAAATTTTTTACTGCAATGAAACGTAGGATTAAATTCCTACAACTGTCCAATTCAATGGAATATTTTTTTTCGACCCTTTTTCGTATGCAACCGGATGTGATGTACTATGATTTGGTGGTATTACACTTTAAACAAATAAATTTCTACAAATTCTGCAGAGTTTAAGTTTAAATGAGATTTTGACGTGATTATTTGTCAAATTATCAATGCCGACCTATTGTTCAGAACTGCAATTTTAATATTTTGTTTTTGTTTTTGTTTTTCTCATTGGCTAAAAGCATAGAGAATATTCTCTGATAAAACGTTATATTAACCGCTGGAAAAATAATGAGAGGTTGATATTAGATTTGGAACAGCTATTGTGAACCTAAATAGTTGTTTTCCTTGGCAACGTCAATGACATAGATTAATGACGTCATGCAAGTTCTCGTTTTTCTTATTCTTCTTTTCGGTGTTAATTAGTTTTATTAAATGTTATTGTATACTAGTATTTCAACTCAAAGAAGTTATCAACTGGTGAAACAGATAATATATTCAGTAAAAAACATCAAGAGCAAATACTTGAAAATTTGAGATGGATAAATAAAAGTCATGTAATGAAACAATTGTTGACTTTTGATATCAGTTGACCTCGGTGAATATCATATCTCTGGGGTTGATAAATCATTGCATCAACCTCATCATTAATCAATAATTGTATATCATGTCTCTGCTCTAAATAACATTTTCATTTTATTATTATATACAAATTGCTGAACATTCTTTTGAATATTTAATGTATGCTTTAACAATATGACCATTCAAGTGCAACAAATAAACGGGAAAAAAGTGCTTCTTCTTTCTGAGGTACATTTCATAAACGTTTGGAAATGAACACATGTTTTTTTTTCTAATGTTGATTTCTGATAAACGGAAATAAATGTTAAGAGTGTAATGATTAATATACTTAACCTTAGAATAGCCATTACATCGGATGTCGCCTAAAACAATTAACACTTCCTAATTATTTTTTTTAAATTTTCAATGTTGGATCTTAACTTTAAGTCTAATTATATGTTAGATTAAAAATAAAAATCAAGACGCATGTACTTATTCAAAAATGTTAAGTTTTAATGTTAAAGGAAGTACATAATAGGTTAAGATAAACCATGATTTTATTAAATATTATTTTATAAGTATGACAGGAAATCGCGGTAAACGTCCGACATGATGAAGCTGTATAAATCATGTAAAATCCAGGGAAGGAACATGGCTGTTGTATTTTTGATACGTTTGGTGTTTTGTATTTGTATTGGATCAGTGACTTCTGCAGAAGGTACAGTGGCCTTTAATTTACAAATATCTCAGCATTTTGTATCATATTTAAATTTGCTTTGACCGGCGATCTATTTTTTTTATGTATACTCAGAATGTATGAAATCTGAATTTTTTTTTTATTTACTAGTTTAGTGTGTTTAATTCTAAAATTTATTTATGCACAACCACCTTTGAAACGCATTAGAACCTTTTCTATTAAACATTGAAAGTTATGAAATACACAGTGGATGTTATACATGTTATAAGATTTGCGTTTTTTGTTTCTTAGAAAGGAGTAGATTAAATTACAAGAGCTTGTTAGAAACACATAATTCAATTTCTCGTCCTTAAACTTTTATGGTTATTTTTTTGTTTGTTTTGTACAATTTCTTGAAAAAAAGTCTTATTTCCTGTGTAACTTTTTATGCATTGCTCTATTTATACCGAGCGTTAGCCAGGAGTAAAATATCGGCCATTATAATGCCTACCAAATGTTAAAATGATATTAGAGCATGACACGATAGTTGTGTATAATTAAGTAGATCACATACTAACTATACTTTATTAAAAAAAATATTCATATGGAAATAATACGTCAATCTATTTCTTGCTATTTCCATGCGGGTGTATGTAGTAATGGATATAGTACAGTTTTTTTTCAGGAGTCTGAAACATATTTTTATTGAATATTTTTTAAACTAAATGATTTTTGTAGATTTTTTATGGTGACATTTTTAAAATAAGGTAATTAAAAAAAAAACAAAAAAAAAAAACCGAGATTTGTCTACTGCCACGACTGCCAAAATATATAGACACTCGTTTCTGAAATATTTGATCAGAATAAGACAAGATTAAGACCAAAAGTTTGACAGCAAAGTATATAACTCGTGACTAGTAAATTTGTCATTACAGAAAAGTCAAATCCGTTTAAGGTAAATTTTCTTAAGGAAGATATAACTTCAGTTTTCATCTAATTACATTCCTTTATTCGGAATTAAAAATCAAGAAAAATATGTAATTTAATTGGTGAATTATTTTTAGGACATGATTCACATGGTTGATGTGGTTATTTACAACAAATAAATCACTAGATGGTAAAACACGATGCCGAAAAATAAAACAAACTTTAGTCAAGATTCCTCGGTTTTGTCCATTTCTATTGTCTTTCATTGTTACATTGAATATTGGTAACCTACCCAGTAACTCTTTGGTGCTACATTCATGTTTCATTAATTTTAAATAGTACACAAACAGTGACCAAAATGGGGTGAATAAAGAACCCAATACAATTGGTGTGTACACTCTTACTTTCAGTATGTACCGTCGTTTTACCATTAACGTGCTCTATTTTTTGTCCCTTCTTTTTAGTAACATCAGGTCAATATGTTCCCGTTTTTGTAAGGTCAAGTTAATAAGTAATTTTTGTTAAAGAAACGTTTGACATGATTTGATAAATTCCAGCTTTTGATTATGATATTGTTATTCACCTGAATCATAGGGCATTTCAGCTGTTTCATAACCCTTGCACCTGCTTTTCACAATCGTACGTTTAAGTAAAATATTGTCTCCTCTTATCCTGAAATTATTTGACAAATTTGGGCTAGACAGGAATATTGTAATTTACATAAGATCCGTATGACAAATCCCATCTTGTTTTGATAAAACATTGTCAATTGCGATTCTTGATTCTTTATATTTTTATTCTATGAAAAAATAATTCCAATTATTTTCATATTCTATCTTACATGAATGGTGATAGGGAAATATTTTATATCAAGAAAAAGGAAAAGTTAACTTCTTGAAATTTCCGGAACAAACTTGAAATTGATATAATCCGTGAGAAATTTAATGAATATTTGTATTTAGGCACTTTAAATTTAAAATCACCGTGACCGAATGGCACAAACTATTGTCCCTACAGATTGTTTTAAATGAACAGAGATAAAGAGGTGAACAGTAACTTCCGCAAAGACCGTGTAATACAATCCTTACTCGATTAAAGAAACGTGAGGGAAATAAATATAGGTAGATCAAGTAAAAAAACCCAACCCAAAAACAATATGGTACCTACGTCATTGATTAAGGTTTAAGTGATTTTTTAATTATTCTACTCGTCTGCGTAAAGGTCAAATATTTTAAATGTAAATTTTTGTTTCTCATATGTTTTTATTTTTTTTTTATTGGGAAAAAAAATGGTTATAATTAGACTTTAAATGTTCGTTCATTTATTTCACTTATAAGGTTTTTTTTTACTATCTTACAAAAGTAACCTAGGTCCAACATTAACGTTATATTTAAAAGCTAAGTCATATACAATATTCAAAAGAGGCGAAAGATACCACCAAAGGGACATTCAAACTCATAAGTCGAAAATAAACTGACAACACCACGGCTTAAAAAGAAAAAGATTAACAGACACACAACAGTACACAAAACACAACGTAGAAAACTAAAGACTGAGCAACGCGAACCCCAACAAAAACTTGGGGTGATCTCAGGTGCTCTGGAAGGGTAAGCAGGTCCTGCTCCACATGTGGCACCCGTCGTGTTGCTCATGTTCGTACAAACCCGGTAATAAATCTAATTCGGTAGGTCACATTCCGGGAAAATGGGACTGGATTGTAGTTACGACAATAGGAACATATCCGCTATCATCTGTGAAACGTATATTCCATAACGGTCAACCAACTCGTGGTGGCGTCCGCAAAATTTACGCAGGGATGATTTCAACTTCACCACTTGAAACTCTTGGTTTAATAGCTTCCTTGTTAGCAGCAACCTTCTATCAAGGAAATCATGATTGGATATACAAGCCCTGGAATATCGTATTAACTGGGAGATATATACTCCGTATGCAGGCGCTGCAAGAATGTTGCTACATAGAAATGGAAAGTTCACAATTGGGAAGCTGAAATTATCTTTTTGTTGTAAAGTTCTGTTTTCAACCGAGTCGACCCTCAAATGCAGACTTAACTGTATTTGGTGTATCCTTTATCTCAAGTTCGAAGGGATAGATATGTTCAACATAGTCACCAAATTTTGAATTATTTAGTTAGAGAACATCATCTATATAGTGGAAAGTAAAGTTAAAGGATACTGCAAACTTCTTTTCTTTCTTCCTAAGAAGTTCCTGTATGAAGTCAGCCTCATATGAATAAAGAAACAAGTCGCCAAGAAGAGGGGCACAGTTGGTTCCCATAGGAATGCCGATTATTCGTTGAAAACACGTCATCCAAACGTAACAAATATGTTTTGATAATGTCAGTTTCAGATAATTTTTTGTTTGAATCGGAGTGATTTTTTACAAAGTAGGATTTGTCCCTCTCTAAGACAAGATACTTGTATCTGCGTTGGCCATTCTTTTTTATGAAACAAAGCAGGACCAACTCTTTCAATTTGTCTTTTAGTTTGGAATGGGGAATACTTGTGTAAAGTGTAGAAAAGTCAAATGTTTTAATACTATACCAAGATGAAAGAGTCTTAGATTGTATGTACTCTAAAAGATCTTTGAAACTTTTTAGTATCCACATCTGATTAACGCCACCTCTAGAATATGTAGTTTCACAATAACTTTGATTGCTGATAAAATTGATGGTAATAATTTAGAAAGAGGTTTCGTGGAGTACTTGGAAGACCCAGCAATATCACGTTGTTTGTAAGGACACTTATGTAGTAAACTGTTCGTTCAGTAGATATCACATACTGCTTAATATTGCATATATCATCTCAAATCTTATAAAATTAGGTAGTTCACGGATAAAGAAAACCCCTACTCAAACTTATCCGAATTGAGTTTTAAGTGGGTTCCTGCAATTAATGTCTCTCAGCTGCACAAGAACCCTATACTTTTAATTTAATAGGACTTTTCTGTACTTAACATTAAGCAAAGATATCATGTTTTGGATAAAGGACCACTGCAGCTTGGGTTTTATTTATGTACATTTGTGTATGGTTTGCTTATCACAAATTTAATCCCGAAAGAAACATAAATGGTTTACTATAAATAAGAATACCATAGATAAAGAAGTACGATGACGGCTATAACTCTACTTGTTGCCAAAATATGAGCGTCTACTCCTTTCAAATGGTCGTTCCTAAAATCGATAAGAGACGTATTCTAGTTGAGCATTCTGCTGTTCAAAGTTTCTCTTTTTCTAACATTGTTTTAAGATAACCAATAACTCAAAAATGGGTACAGCTCGTCATTTAAGGGTAAACATTCGAACAAGGAGTCGACTGACGACCCCGGCTATAAAACCTCTTGATCATGTCAAGTTGATTATTTTTGCAAATTATAGTTTCTCAATTTTTACTTCAGTTTTCAAGATAATAGCTTAAACTGCGAAGTTTGCTAAAAATTGACATATCAGGGTAAAAACCTCAAAATGGGTTGTCCAATTTCCCTGAAAAAGAAAAAGTGGATAGATCATGACCTACTGATCATTTTAACCCAGTCAGTTTTGCTTTAACTGTGCTATATGTGAGATATAAGGCAAACAATTGCATTTGAAACCATGTGTTCTATTTATAGTCATAACAGAAATTAAAAAAACATTTTTTTTACAATTCAGCAGAACGACATCCAGGGCTTGTATTTCCTATCATGTTTTCCTTGATAGACGGTTGCTGCTTATAATGAAGCTATCAATCCAAGAGTTTCAAGTGGTGAAAATGAAATCATTACTTCGTAAATTTAACGGACGCCATCACGAGTTATTTGACCGTTATGGAATATCTGTTTCCCAGGTGACAACGGATATGTTCCAATTGTCGTAACTACAATCCTGTCCCATTTTCCCGGAATGTGACCTTCCGATTTAGACTTTTCATCGGGATTGTACTAACATGAGCAAAACGATGGGTGCCACATGTGGAGCAGAATCTGCTTACCCTTCCGGAGCACCTAAGATCACTCCCAGTTTTTGGTGGGGTTCGTGTTGCTCAGTCTGTAGTTTTCTATGTTGTGTTTTGTTTACTGTTTGGTTGTCTCTTTTTCTTTTTTAGCCATATCGTTGTCAG